CTGTACAAATAGGATCAAGACAAGATGCCAGCTCTATCCCTTCTTTAAATTTCATTGCTGGCTCTGGGCTCTTCCTTGATAGAGATTCTGGAGCCGTCACTGCCTAAGCCCTTTATGCAAAACAATCTGTCCGCAAACTCAGTGGTGTCCCTTGTTCTGGTTCTGTCTAGCTGCTTCATAGAGCTAGTGTGCAATGCTGAGCCCAGGGTGAGAAGTGCTGAAAGGCCTTTCTTTTGAGCCCAGGTGGGTGATGCAGCACTCAACAGCAAGATCTGTGATCTTCTGCTCTCCAAGCACAGCATCTATGTGCAGGCCATCAACTACCCAACTGTGCCTCGGGGTGAGGAGCTCCTGCGCTTGGCACCCTCTCCCCACCACAGCCCTCAGATGATGGAAAACTTTGTGGGTAAGTCCTCAGCACAGGTGTCTACACTTTCCTACCCCTAAGCCCCAGGAGTCAAAGAAGCAGGGAGAACAGATGGCGTTTGATCTGGGTAAATATTTCTAGGGGCATCTGTTGTGTACCAGGCTCTATACCAGAGTCACAAATGAATTGGAAAACAGCCCACAGACTCGCTGGGCTCTGGTTGGATTGATCACAGAGACAGAAATAATAGTGGATGCAAACAATGGTATCAGATGAGATCAAGATTAACAAAGACAGTACCTGGGGAAGTTGTGGGAGCATAGAAGATGGGGCTAACCTAACTTGCACAATTCAAGATCGGCTTCCTAGGGGAAAGGACTCTGAGCAGACTCTTACTAGGTAAGTAGCTTTGGACCAACAGAAGAGGGTTAATAACAAGGACTCCTAGAGGAGGAAAGAACACAAAGAAAGGTAAGGAGGGAGGTGAGGAACAGCAACATGTGACAATAACAGCCAAGTGCAGTTAGACATGCTTGAAATCCCAGCACTTTAGAGGTGGAAGAAGGAGAATCAGGAGTTCAAGCTCATTTTTTGCTACATAGCTAGTTTGAAGTCAGTGTATGAGCTTCAAGAAGCCAGGTCTCAAAAACAACAATAAAGAAGAGGAATTTCTGGAATGGAGGATAGTAGGATGGAGGTGGGGAGAGTGTCGATCTAGGAGCTACAAAAATAATATAAACAAGGACTAGGTTTAGAGGCCTGTAGAGCTGAGCTGGTCAGTTTGGGGTTTACCCTGAAAGATGGCAATTTGGTGAATTTACCCATTGTTGACTGTATTTCTTTTGGGTACATTTTTGAGATTGTAATTTAAGTATAGCACTTCATACATTTCCTCTCTGTACACCCTCCTATAAACCCCTCTATGCTCTCCTTCAAATTCGTGGCATCTTTTTTTATCAGTTGTTACTGCATACATATTTGTATATGAATATATATTCCTAAAAACCCGGCTATTTCCATATAATGTTACATGTATGAATGTTGGCAAGGAATAGTTTTAAAGATAAAACATGGCATACAGCAGGTGCTCATTCTAAGTCTCTTGGATGAAATATATGTAGACAGTGTCAGAGAATACAAACACAGAGAGTACTAGTACAATATGATGAGCTGGGTGGCTATAGAGTGAGTGAAAGTAGAAAAGATTTATAGGTGAGCGAGTCTGTATGGTCCACATTGAGCTACATGTGGATATTGTGCCAAGATCCTAGAATAAAGGAATTCCAGGAGCAAAAATTAAATAGGAAAGCAGAGGGCGCATGTTGAGAAGTCATTCTGTCCAGAGCATATGCAGCATAATTTGAGGAAGATAGTTAATCCATTCATTCACTTGAAAACATCAAATAAAGCTGCCTAATACCTATTATTTACCACATGCCGGGAATGGTTTTAATAAATACATGGAATAGAGATGCCTTTATAATTTTCATTTTTTATTACAGAATGAAGCATAAAAACAGTTACTGGTCCGTGGTCAAATAGCCACTAGGAGTCCTGACTGTTCTCTCTGTGGTCACAGCTACTATGTTTGTATGAGTGGCTGGTTCAGACTCTTTTGGTTCAGGCTCTTCTATAGCTCTGGGATTTGGTTCTAGAGATTTCAGTGCTGAGGTCTCTGAGTGTTCACTTTTGCAGGAAAGTTATATTATTAGAGACATTTCCCACTACTCCACCAGTCCACTAATCCTGTAACCAGCTCACCCTGAAATCCTACATGTCTTCTCTGCAGCCTCTTTAAGATATAGTCTCCCTTCTCTGCTGCTGTTTCTTAAAAATGTATCAATATATTTTACCTCATTTCCTTGCTTCTCTTCTTCCCTTCTAAAATTTTCTTCACACTAACCAGCAAAGGGATTTTTCTAAAACCTAACACTATTGTTCCATTTCCTAAACCTCTTCATTTCGTGTCACATTCCTCTAGGATAAGGTACTCAAGATGATCCACAGCCTGAGAAAATACATCAGTTTAATATGCAAAATGGCAATGACAAATACATGTAATACAGAGATAAATACATGCTGGAGGTCCATGTTAAACCAACTAAAAGGACGTTTAGTCCCAAATTTGGAGAAATCTCTAGATTATAGAACAAAGTTGAAGCTCCCTGGTATGGCATGCAGTGTTGTTCACGCTGTCCTGGTCTGGCCTTTCCTCTTCTGCCAAATGCACTTTATTTCTCTAACTATGTCCAATGAATTCCAGTTCTTCCATTATGCTTTGCTCTCTTGACTCAGTCACCCATTATTTCTCTTGTTTATTTTCCTTCCTCTTCTAGTCCTAAGTTATTCTTTCAGTATGTGAACATTGTGTTCTTACTATGAGCTAAACACTGTGCTCGAGACCTAAGAATACACAAGACATAAAACCCTACCCTTCTGTAGCTTAATTCTAGTAGGTAGGGACAATCAACTTAAAAAAATAAACAAATAAATTAGCATTCTAGTTTAAAGTGTTAAAGGAAAACATAAAGCAGAAAAGGGGGACACGAATTGCTGCAGGCAGGCACTGGCTTAAAGGGCTGTAGACCTGGAGTGGCAGGGTAAAAAACATTGAGTTAACACTGGAGAGATTTGAAGGACACAAAGACATTAGCGGGGAAATATCTAAGAGATACCGCAGAGTCTAAGGCAAAGACCCAAAGACAAAAATATTGCTTTTATATCGGGGGAACAAAAGATGGATGTGGATGGAGTGATATAGGTAAATAGCAGAAGAAATGAGCAGATTGGGCTTAGTGGAGGACAGAGGTGAATAGTTCAGTTGTGTCCATGTTGTTAGACATAGGCATTAGGCAGCCAAGCATAGCCACAGAAATGCTACTGAATACATAAGTCTGAAAAAATGAGGCTGAGTTCTGGGAAAGCTGGAAGCAAAAGATTCAGATTCATCAGCACACCGATGGTGTTAAGAACACAAGGCCTGACCACACCAGAAAGGGATAGGCAGAAACAGGGCTAAAGGGATTAAAAACAAGACCAGTAACACACCTTAAGTACTTTTTACAGTTGGGTCATGTTCCCTCCTCTGGGTTGCTACACACCCCAGGAATGCGCCCCCTACCTTTTCTCACAACGGTGATATCACAGTTTACTTTTAGTGTCATCTTTACCAGGTTAGGATTTTCTGAGCAGAGCAATTCACTATTAGGCCTCCACATGACCTTTATGTAGGTAGTAGTACAGACTAGCACATGGTTTTAAACCTTGTCAACGGTGTGATTTTCTGTGCTTTATACATCTCAGGACACATAAATGGTAGCATTCATGGATCACACTGAAGTAGACAAATCAATCTACTTCTGGACCCATGTTACCTCAATGGATTGAGGGAGTCAAGCTCTTGGTGCAACCTTTAGCAACATGGGTTTTAAAAGGCCAAGTCTAACTAATTCTTTCCCTCTTCTCTTCTCCCCTTTCAGAGAAGCTGCTTCTCACCTGGACTGAGGTGGGGCTGCCCCTCCAAGATGTGTCTGTGGCTGCATGCAACTTCTGTCACCGTCCTGTGCACTTTGAGCTTATGAGTGAGTGGGAGAGATCCTACTTTGGGAACATGGGGCCCCAATACGTCACCACCTATGCCTAAGAAGCCAGCTGCCGTGGATGCCCACCCCACCTGCATTCCACCTGGGCTGGGCTTCTTCCTGCTCTCTGCTTTGTTGTGTGCTTCTAGCTGACTTGATTCTAAAAATAAAAAGCAACCTAAATGAACCATTCAGTCATTTGGTGGACAGAAAGTAAACAACTGTACTATACTGACTCACTCAGTCTTAGCCCACATATTGCTTGTTGGTCTGACCACTCTGTTTTACTGATAGGAAAAGCCTGATTTAGGAAGAGGAAAGAAATGCCCATAAACTTTATTAGAAGCTGTATAAAGAACTAAACCCCTCAGATAAACCTAAAGTGGCTTTCTCAATAGTTTCAACAAAAATATAGAGCTTTATCTTCACAGGGAGATCTGCAAAGCTAAGCCCCAAGTAGCCTCCAAAGTCAGAAGATAGAGTGGGTCTCAACTAAAGACTGACTGTTCTTCAGGATTAATGGCTTTCCACAAACCAAGAATCTTCCAGAATGAGGAATGCATGTCCCTTTTTCTCCTCCAATATCATTTTTTACAGGATTTACTATCCTTCCTCAAGGTGAAGGAGGAAGCTTGGCTGTAGTATTCAATATCTTTACAGCAAGGCTCCCAGCAGGGAACTAACAACTCTACTGTTCAAGGTGGTTATCTTCCCTGAAACTTAGGCCCTGGATATCTAAGGGCTAAAACACCCCTTCTTTCTTTCTGGTGATTAATTTGTTTCAGCTGAAGAACACACTAATTGGGAAGCTCTTGTTGAAGTATACACAACCCACACCACATCCTCACTGATTCAACCTCAGAGCTGCAGATAATCTCAGGAGCTCACCATACCCCTTCATGGCGAGCCCAGTTCCTCACTATACTATGCTGCCTTGGCAGTATCTCACTCATCTACAGGAGGCCAGCAAGCCTAGCACTGCCTCCACTTTCTAGGGTGCGTTTAAAATATTCACTCAACACGGTACACTAAAAAAAAAAAAAAAAAAAAAAAAAAATCCCATGAGCTTTATTTATGAACGAATTAAGTGTCCACCAAGGGCAGAAGGGGTTTAAATTAGTTCCCTGGTCCTATGCGTACAAAGAAGAAGAAATAGAGATGTGAGAAGGAGGAGGCATTAAAGGAAGAAGGGAGGGAAGGGAGGAAAATGAGAGAAGAGAAAGAAGGGAAAGAAAGGAAGCCTTGGGAAAAAGGCAGCTTCAGAGGCAGGGACCTGGCATCAGACCCCGTGCAGCAGGTGACCGTGCTAGACATCCCTAAGCCTCAGTTTGTTCAGCTGGGCCTGCTCCAGAGGAAGAAGTTACAGCGGGAGGAGGGGTCACTGGGAGGACCTCGTGGTCTAGCACACATATAGAATTGGCGACCCAAGTTGGGTCCTGCTTTTTTCACAGTGCGCATCACACATGGCTCCCTGTGGCCTCCACAGAGGGGCATGGGTGAGGGCCCACTGAGCACAGACTTCCAGAAGGAGGTCCTTACTTCCTTCTCATCTTTTGCCTCTGGAATCTTGATCTTTTCTTCTATCACCGTGGCCATTGCCACCTCTTCTGGAGCCCTTGAGGTTGTAAGAGTACCCACTGGAGGCAGGTCCACAACAGAAGTTTGGGGAAGGTTAGAGGCAGGCTGGAAGTAACTCATCAGGTTTTTCTGGCTTCTTTTGGAGCCACCTTGACTTTTCCGAATCCTGGTTGAGTGCATACGGGCTTTGCCTGGCTGTTTCTGCGCCTGCATTTGATGGCTGGGCTGTAGTACTGGCTGCACCTGTACAGGTTCTTGTTCAAGAGGAACGAGGAAGCGAAGAATCTTGAGCTGGGTACCAGCAAACTCAGGGAGGAAGCGGGTGCACAGAGCTGGACACTGTTTTGCTGGCACACATGATACATTCAAGACAGCTCCCACAGGGCAGTGATCAGAGCCCATCACTTCTGGGAGTAGGAAGGAGGTCTGGAAGGTATCTGTAACCAAAGTCCTATCTCCCAGTATATAGTCAAGTCGGGAACCATAGTTCAGATGGCGTGCACCACTGACCACTGACCAGCAGGTGAAAGCCCTCTCCTGTTTTGGATGGAAGCAGCGGTAGCTATCCATAAAAAGCCCTATGTGGGATCCAGCCTCAGTCCCTGGGTCACTGAGCAAGCCATCCATCCACTTACGTCCGGGGTCCTCTTCAAAGCACTCCTGGGGAAGGGAAAGGGGATGAAAAGCCAAAACTAGATCCTTAAAATAGGAAGAAATTTAGACTAATTGCTTCATTATATAAATAAGAAAATTTGCTTCTCCTAAAGAAGATTCTTGTTCAAGACCATATAGCTCAGACCAGGAAAAGCTGGGATTTGGTGACCTTTCTTTCTTCCTTTATTTTTGTGTGTGTTCTGTCTTCACATGTGTCTGTGCACCATGGGTACATGCAGTACCCATGGAAGTCAGAAGAGGTCATTAGACTCTCAGGAAATGGTGTTCTGATGGTTCTGAACTGCCATGTGGGTGCTGGGAATCAAACCCAGGTCCTCTGCAGAAGGACTACACGCTCTTGATGGATGAACCATCTTTCCAGCCTGGACAAGCAAGCACTTTTAAATAAATAATTCTAGAAATCAAAGCCTGGGCTTGGCGAGAAGGCTCAGTGCTTAAAATGTATACTACTCTTGCAAGAACCTGAGTTTGATTCCAGCACCCATACAGACATCTCAAAACCATCTGTAACCCCAGTTCCAGAAAATTCTATGGCCCCTGGCTCTATGGGCACCTGCACTTCTGTGCATAATATGCCTCTCCCACATATTTTAAAATAAAAATACATATTTTAAAAAGTTCCTCCTTGTTTTTCTGTCTATTCCACTGTGATTACCTTCCATTAATACCAAATCTTAAGCCCTGTTGTCTGCTTAATCAAAATAACTCCCAGAATCTCTCTTCAAAAAATTGTAAAAACAAAATCAAGCATGGTGGTTACACTTATTATCCCAGCAGTCAGGAGGCTGAGGCAGGAGGATTGCCATGAATATGTAGCCACTCTGGGCTATATTGTAAGAGATTCTCTCAACATACAAACAACAAAGGAAAGTAGTCACTCCACAGGGTAGTAAGACAATATCAGGAGTTGGAAGACTGTTGCTTTTCCTTTAACATCCCCACTCCATGCTAACTGCCGTATCTCGATACTATGTATCAATGTCTTTACTGACACCTCTGTTCATTTAGGAGCATAGGAGATTTGGCCATCCGTGTGTGTGTGTGTGTGTGTGTGTGTGTGTGTGTGTGTGTGTGTGTG